ATGACTCTTGTTCCGTCCTGCATTACTCTTCATGACTTCGTCTAGTCCAAGGCAAGTTCTCTATGTTTCTGACTTGGATCCCTAGGTATCCTGCGCTCATCCCATCAAATTGTCCTCCTTCGAAGAAACATTCAACCAGCTATACTCCGAGTCGAAACTACCCCTCCAATAACCTCACTCCTCGGGACAAACACCCATCCCAGCCCACTCCAGTACTCCACCCACGGTCGAAAATGCCCTGCACGAAATAAGGCCCATCTTGAACCACGAACCCCACCGCCGCCTCCCCCAGCTGAGAATCTCGCTGAAATATTTGCAGTGGGCACTCCCCCGTTCTATCCTGTGTTTAACCCGCACAACAGGGATGTGCCGGGGGCCTTACCCAGAGTCTACGCCGTAATGTGGACATCTCATGCCAGGCGAGGCGCTTGGTGTTCTCACGTTGTCGACATATCCGAATCTGGGACGTACCAGACAACACCATTATCGCCCTCCTTTCTATAGTGATAGAAGAATCGTCCCGCTGGAGGAGTTTTGGAGTTTGGTATCTAAAGGCACGGCTTGTGAGGACGCTTGGGACTATTCGGGGGGTTGGAACTCGGATCTCTGGGTATCTGGTTGTCTCGCGTGCTCGGTTGAGGGCTCATTACCACCGCTCCCAGCCTGAAGTGAAAGGCGAGAGGGCAGGGATAGAGATCGCGTTGCCCTTCCTCGCAGCTCGAGTCCTACATCGTTGACGGCCAACCTAAAAGGAGGGGTTGTAAATACTTCCGTGAAGATCCTTCTCGGCTCCTCAAATCCCCTGCTGGAGGTTATAGCCGGGTTCCTGGACATCTCGTTAGCGTGCACAAAATCGGAAGTGATTAAGTTTGGCTTGCCATATACTACGACCGATCGAAATTGCCGACAAAACGTCCGGCGACGGCGAGATGGCATTCGCCGGTTTTTTGAATGAGGTTGTCGCGAAAGGCGAAAAGGAGGGGAATGAATTTTGGGAGTTTGGGGATGAGGAATTCAGGTAGATAAGTACTATTCAAATGTAGATTCGGCGTAGTAGGGATACGAGATGTGGTAAATCATCATGTGTTCCTGAGAGGACAGGTAACTTTTATCAACACAACGAGAAGGGATGGCGAGGATCATAATCTTAGAAGGGCTGCTTGGCCCTACACTAGACAGCCAAATGGAACAGCATTTCACGGAGGAGATATGTTTAATGCATAGTGCTTCCCAGTATTAGAACTCCTTATCCCGGGGAGAGAACGAGCGAGAATATTCATGCATGTTCGAACACAAGCAAACGTCAAGATGTATACTCGTTCACAATTACTCTAATACTTCTAATCACTTTTCAACCCCTCCAATACCTCGTCGGGACAAAGGGCATACCGACGACCCTCGCCTGCCTCCTCTTCCCCCTAACCTCAACCTCGACCTCGGACCCCTTCTTATGCCTCCCGCCCTCGACACTGACATACCCCATCGCGATATTCTTCCCGAGCGTCGGGGACGGGATGCCCGACGTGACCTCCCCCAGCCTCACATCCGTGCCGGGCGCGTATATGCTCGCACCCTGCCTCGCCGGCGCCCCCTGCACCTCCAACCCCACGCGCCTCCTCCCCGGAACCTTCAACGCCCCCTCAAACCCCACGAACCCGCCCTGCACCCTCCGCTCCCTTCCCACGACCCACCCCAACCCCGCCTCGAGCGGCGTGGTCCCCTCATCAAGATCCTGCCCATACAAACACATCCCCGCCTCGAGGCGCAGCGAGTCGCGCGCGCCGAGCCCCGTGAGCCGGACGGGCGCGCGCGCGAGGAGGCCGCGCACGATGTCCTGCGGCGGCGCGCGGCGGGAGCGAGATCTCGAAGCCGTCCTCGCCGGTGTAGCCGGCGCGCGCGACGTGCAGGGTGTGCCCGCCGTCGAGGGGGACCCACGCGGCGCGCCCGAACGTGAGGGTGCGCAGGTCGAACGCGGTGAGGGACTGCAGGTAGGGCGCGGCGAGGGGGCCTTGCAGCGCGACGAGCCCCCAGCCGTCGAGGACCTCGTGCTCTACGGGGCCCTCGTGGCGCGGGGCGGCGTTCCATTCTGCGAGCTTGTGGGTGAACCAGGCGAGGTCGCGGGTGCGCCGGGCGGCGTTGGTGACGACGTAGAAGGCGTCCGGGGCGTGTTTGGTGATGATGGTGTCGTCGATGATGCCGCCGTGGGGGTTGAGGAGGACGGAGAGGGTGGAGGCGTAGGGCGGGAGGGCGCTGAGGGCGGAGGGGGTGAGCCATTCGAGGAACGCCTGCGCGGAGGGCCCGCGGAAGTTGGATTGGACCATGTGGCTGACGTCGAAGAGCCCGACGCTGGTGCGCACGTGGTTGTGGCTGGCGACTGCGGGATGCGCGGGTTAGGTTAACGCGTGGTTAGGCTGAATGGGGGGAACTCACTGGCTCCTACGTCGCCATACGAAAGAGGCATCGAGTATCCCGCGAATGGGACCATCTTTCCGCCATTCTCGACGTGAAAGTCGTACAAGGGTGTTTTTCGCAGCTGGATAGGGATTAATAGGATAAACTGTGTATTTGGAAGAGGTACGCACTGGCTCGGTGGCGGACGTCGCGAATCGACGGACGAGCGAGCGGAGGAACATGGTGGAGGAAGAAAAGGACAGTCCGGGCCGAGTGCCGATGTGGCTATACTGTTTATTTTGGAAGCGGTCACCCTCACAACACGACCACCATGTCCCGATTCGTCCGAGCCTCAAAATACCGGTACGCCGTCTCCCATACCTCCAAATCCCGCTAACAGTTCCCAGCCACGTCTTTGGACAAGCCGCCAAAAAGGACCATGGCTTCGAGAATGTAAAGGTGACGGGCAGCGCCTGGGACACCAACGTGATCTCCGCATCCGCATCGTACATCTCCGTCAACTGGAACGCATCCGGCGGCGGCGCATTCGCCATCCTGCCCCTGCCCTCCCCTTTTCTCCCGCACCCGTCCCTCCCGTACAAACTCCCCGACTCGCTCCCCCTCGCGCGCTCGCACACCGCCCCCGTGCTCGACACCGACTGGTCCCCGCACGACGACGCCCTCGTCGCCTCCGCCGGCGAGGACGGCAAGCTCATGATCTGGAAGATCGCGCCGGACGCCTTCGACGGGTGGGGCGCGGAGGGGTGGGTCCCGCGCGACTTTGAGCCGGTGTGGCGGGTGGACGCGAGCGCGCGCAAGGTCGGGCAGGTGCTCTTCCACCCCGCCGCGGAGAACGTCCTCGCCAGCGCCTCGGGCGAGCACCTCGTGCGCCTCTGGGACCTCGCGCGCACCGAGGACCCCCAGCTCGTCCTCGCCGGCCACACCGACACCATCCAGAGCATCGCGTTCAGCCCCACCGGGACGCTCCTCGCTACCACGTGCCGCGACCGCAAGCTCCGCCTCTTCGACCCCCGCGCGGGCGGCGACGCCGTCCGCGCTGTCGACGCGCACGGCGGGATCAAGGGCGCGCGCGTCACGTGGATGGGCGACCTCGGCAAGGTCGCCACCACCGGCTTCAGCAAGATGAGCGAGCGCCAGGTCGGCATCTGGGACGTCGGCCAGGGGCTCGCAAACGAGAAGACCACCGCGCTCGACCAGAGCGCAGGCGTCGTCATGCCCTTCTGGTCGGACAACAACATCCTCTTCCTCGCCGGCAAGGGCGACGGCAACATCCGCTACTACGAATACGAGTCCGCCTCCCTCTACGCCCTCGCCGAGTACAAGTCCGCCGACCCCCAGCGCGGCATGTGCTTCCTCCCGCGCCGCGCGCTCAATATCGGCGAATGCGAGATCGCGCGCGCGTACAAGGTGCACGGATCCTCTATCGAGCCCATCGCGTTCATCGTTCCCCGCAAAGCCGACTCGTTCCAGTCCGACATCTACCCGCCTGCCCCGTCCAAGGAACCGTCCTTGTCCGCGGGCGAGTACTTTTCAGGCCGGGGAGACATCCTGCGGAAGCTGATCAGCCTCGATACGGGCAAGACGGTGGCGCCCACAAAGACCGCATCTGCGCCCGTCCCCGCCCCCGCACCCATCGCCGTGTCCTTCTCCCAGCCCGCGCCATCCACACCCTCAGCGCCCCCCATGTCCGCCTCCAGATCCTACTCCCACCCCGACCCTTCTCCTCCAAAGGAGACCACCCCTCCTCCCCCTCTCACCAGGAAAGAATCCACCCCGAAATCGGCGTCCCCCGTACAAGACGTGAGTTCTTGTTTCCTTCCCTTCGCCCACTAACCCTCCCCACAGCCCGAAAACGCACAACTTAAAGCCGAGCTCCGCGAGGCTCGGGAGAAGATCCGCAATCTCGAGCTCCAGCTCGAGGCGACGAAGGCTAACGCAAAGAGGGCCGCAGAGGCATTACTGAACGTCTAACGCCCTATTTTGGTATTTCGTAGACTCGGACTCGGTGGATTTTGGTATTTATTATCGATGGTTGCTTTGTGTGATTCGAGGGATGTATGTCTCGTCGACTGTTCATTTTAGGTTGTGCTGTCGCTGTTGTTACTTTCCACCGCAACATTCAAAAGGAAGACTTGAGAACCGTCCTGAGGATTTCGTGTAGCACCCGAATTGTTCATTGGAATCACTCACATCTCAGGACTCAGTCAAGCCCTACGTAGTTTTGATACACCCGTAAGATACCACAGCTCGGTGGAGCAACTTACCCCCCACGTAAAAATACTACCGCCAATTTTTCGTGTTGTGTCAATCGCAATTCAAAGCATCGCACCTCCTCCCGACAACCAGCTTAGAGAACAATAGTCCCATACCTAAAGTTCGTCATCACAAAACGCGGTCTTGCACACTGATCGTGAATGCCATCAACCGCAACAAAAGGTCAGGTAAAACCCCATCCTGCGCAGTATCCCAATGATTTACCTGAATCGCGCACACCGCACAATGCAAATCTAACCGTTGATCATCGTATGGTTCATAAGGTACCAAGGTCACACTTGGCAAAAAAGATGCTTAATTCTCTACCTGGTACGTGGCCAACGTGGGGATCGAACCCAAGACCTTCGCGTTAATATGAGATATATTAGCACGACGCTCTAACCAACTGAGCTAGTCGGCCCACAAAAATGTTATGGGCGGTCGTATTATCACATATCCCCTGCTCTGGTGTTTTAACTTCGATAAGCGAAGATGTTTAGTTCACACCGTCAGCTCGTGCTTTGTGTACCGAAGATTTTACTTGGGGAAGTAGGACATCTCTTACTGTTTGTGGATCTCACCTCCTCCCGGTGGAGGAGGAGGAGCAGGAGGAGTTTTGCGACTCGGGGAGTATCCATTGCGTTCTATGTCAGCCCCCAGTCACCTTTATTCCATATATCAAGGCATACCTGGAGAATCACTAACAAGACAAGTCCTCACACACTGCCTGGACAGTGTATTATCAGTTCTCCCCATCGTTCATTCCCATTATTGATTACCCGTGAATATATACTATAAACTCGCCCCACTACACCCAATCAACACTCCGTCCGCGGACTAAAATCAAACTTCATCTTCCCCTCCGAATCATAGATCCCATACCCCGGCTCCTGGTCGTCCGAATATATGTGTGCGAACCAGCCGACGCCGCCTCCTGCTACGGTCTTGAAGAACTCGCATTGCGAGTCGAGGAGGACGTAGTAGTCCTGTCGGTGGGCATGTTAGAGGATGTGGGGGAGAGGGGAGAAGGGGGGGGGGGGACGTACGTGTTCGTTGGGTATGTCGGATACTGCGTATGGGCTGTTGGGCTGCACGCCTTCGGACGTGACGGATGGCCAGCCGTTCTATGGCGGGGTCGGTGACGGCTGGATTATCAGGAGGAAGAGGAGGGGCGCACCTCGCTCAGGTATATCTTCTTCCCTTCACCATTATCGAGGAACCTAGACAGGGACGGTGAATATCGAACCGACAGGTGAAATACGTATGCTCTCTACCAATCCAAATCGGTGAGAACGATAGGCCATGAATTGTTGGCTAATCAAGTTAGTCAACCAGTTTTTTCTGATAATCAAAACAACGAACGAACGAACCCGTCGACGCCTGTTGCGAGAAGAACGGCAGCATATGCGCGTCTATCAAATCGATAGCGTCCAAAACCTCCTGCGCACCCCCGCGTTCCTACACAAATCAATCAACCAATCATCCCACGAACCCAACCCCAACCCCCCCCAAAAAAGTTACAAGCACCACTCACCTGATACCCATACGCCATATCCGAAACCGTCACCGGGATCCCCAGACTCGAGAGGTTCGCCTTGGCGGCCCACACCTGCTGCGCGAGGGCCTCCGGGTCGAGCACATTGTCGAAGAGGGGCTCGGACCCGAATTGGAGGGCGCGCGTGACGAAGGGGGCTTTGGGGTTCGCGTGGAGGGCCGCGAGGAGGGTGTCGCGGCGGGTGAGCCAGATGTCGGAGCCGTCGAAGCCGAACTGGGAGGGAGGGTGAGTATTTGAAGAGGGGGGAGAGGAGGGAGAGGGGAGAGGGGGGCGTACCCAGATGAGAGCGTGTACGCCGAGGTTGGCTTCCCATGCTGCAGTGATGATGTCGTCGCTATATGCGTGTCCTTGATTAGGAGGGGATAACGATAGACGGATGGGGGATGAAAAGCATACTAGAAGCCCTCCCGGTCACACGCGCCGTACATCCGAACATATCTTCCACTAAACCTCTCGCGGATATCCTTGAACTCGCGTTTGAGCTGCTTGAGACTCTGGCCTGGATCGACGACGAAGGGGGGGGAGCAATGAGACGATCAAGGGGAGGAAGGGAAGGGAAGGGAAGGGAAGGCATACATGCGGTGACCTCGTAGCTGAATCCTACGAAGGCGTAGTCTGAGGCGGGGGGGCACCACCAGTTGTCGAGGGATGAGGGCGTGGCGTCTGGCATCGAGAACCCGAGGGCGGGGAAGCATGGTTGAGGGGGCGGCGTAGGGGAGTGGTGCGTAGGGCTCGCGAGGCTTGCAGCGACGAGAGACAGGACAAGGGGGAGTAGAGGAACCATTATCGGTCTGTCGTCCTCTCCCCATCCACTCCCTCCCCTGGGTTCTTATAGAATTCACGGCGCCGTTTGGAGAGCGTCAAAACCAGAACGAAGGTGCTAAGGACCTCGAGACGCGTGAGTAATAGGTGCCGTGGGGGTTCTTTATGGGTTGGCTGCGACGTACTACGCGCATATGGTTGGAGAAATTCCTGTAAACCGACTAACGCGTGGAAAAAGTGGTGCATGAGGGACTTGTCATATGACATGACTTTTGAAAGAGACAGCAGGGTAGAACAGGCTGACAGCTGACTGTGTATGTACGCTCTGCCTCAAGGAAGTCAACAGAGACGAAGTGGCTTGGCCCCGGGTACGTGAATGATTATACATAGGCAGAGCAAAGGTTGCATAGGGTTGCATGGCGCATGGCGATGATCAGGGTCAGGGTTGATCGATCCGAGTCCCCGATGTCGCCCTCGGTGAGATGATAGCATGGGCTGATTGATTCAATTAAACCTAAAAATAAATAAACGTCAGAATGGGGGGAGAGGTGTGGTTTTAGGGAAATGGCTACCATCCGAGTCACCGGCCTCAATTCGCTCGGGAAAGAAAATGCTGGGATGTGGAGACGGGGGGTGGTGAAGTAGCTGAAGGAGACGAGAGAGAGGAGGTCTGTGTGGCTATTATGGAGTGAACGACTCGGAATGAGTACAGAGGTGAAGAAAGAGAGAAAGAGCCTTCATTTGGCAGGAGAGGACCAGCGCCAGTGAACCCCAAATGAACGTGTCTTCCAGTCGAACACGGCTGTCTGAAGCCTCGAGGTCTCGAGCAATTCTTCATAATAATAATAATACCCGTTCGATTGTTGGCACGCGTTAGCTTTCACGAAGGAAACAACTCCCCCAGAGTCGTCTCTCTGACATCGGAAGCAGGATAATCACCCGGCACGAGAAGAACCAGCATGTCAGGACCACAAAACTCGCCGAGAACCTGACGGCACAGCCCACATGGCGAGATCGCGGAAAATAGATTTCTGGCAAAATCATAATTAACGCTCAACGGAGGGACTCGGACTCGGAAGGGGGTATTTTTAGAGTGTGAACTTGTTGCTTACGATGTGATGGCGAGTGCCGAGGAAGTTCGTGGTTCCGGAGCTCTGAGAAGATCGATCAGTGGGGTAAGAGTGAAGATCCACGTTGGAACTGACAGCTGCTTTGACAATAGCCACGCGTTCAGCGCAGATCGTATCAGCTGAGCCAAGTCGGTGTGAGTCCCGGGACATCTGCGAAGCGTCACTGAGAGGATTAACTCCTCACCGTAATTCGCGTTATCGACGCTGCAACCCTGTATTATAGTGCCGTCCCGCGCTAGAAGAGCGGCGCCCACGGGAAAATGGGAATAAGGACTGTAGGCTTTATCTTTCGCTAAGGAATACTCCTTGGTGATAGATATACTACCAGAGGCGATCGCACGTACCTTCGAAAGCTGCGCGTATCAGACTATTTCGTTCGGCTGGAGACAGCGACATGGTAGAGGAGTAAGGCAGACACGTGGCCCTAACCATCGAAAACTGCTACTTATGATGGACCATCAAAACGTGACGAGTCTACACATCGGCTTTGTAGCTCTCAGCTGCACAGTCTCCTCACCTTTTGCTAGGGGATTCCATGTGACCCACGATAATCTTTAGGCTTGACTATCTCTCCTCAGAACATAATTTTTTAAAATGTAACAAAATACAGAATCTTTCCAAGTTATGAGGTAGGAACACAAATCGTGATTTCATATGATATACTGGACCGACGCAACCTGCCATCGATTTAGCTGACGTTCGTTGGGGAATCACATCTGTTCGAGCGAAAGAAGTATCGGTAACCGGACCGATCTTCAGATACCTAAGTGGTAGAATTTAAAATTCTCTTTTTTCAACCTGCCAACTAAATATGTGCATGAGTTTACGTTCATACCCCGAACCTCCTCCTGCGCGCTGAGATACTATGAGATTGAACTGCCCCCGTCTTTATCCCACGCGATTGTTTCTTTTGGTACGTAACTCCACAGGTAAAAGAGAACCGGAGCCATAATCGGAATCTTCTCCAACACGCTCTGAGAAATGGCTTCGTTCATTTCCCAGGTTCGAGCTATCGGATAAGAATCTTTTTATCTTGTCATGTACGGACTTTTGCAGCTTTTCACCCTGTCCTTGGCAGCCATTTCGCTCTCCCAGGTCCTCGAGGGATCCTGGACTCGGAAGGAACTGCTTGCTTCTCATGACACTGAACTAAGCGAAAATAATGCAGGTTTTATTGAGGTGCGACCTTATCTTTGGTCTGATCACGCCTTTCTAACAGCGATATATGGTACCCAGGTTCCACTAGGACCACTTTGGGAGCGGGAACTCATCTACGTTTCTCAATCGTTACTGGGTCAATGCTTCCTACTACGCTCCCGGAGGCCCGGTTTTCTGTACGCTGATCCGATGCATGCCCCTTATCAATACTGATCTCATGCAGTATTCGACTCTGGAGAACAGGATGCTGCTCCCCTTCTGCCATATTACCTTCAAGTACTCGATTACTATCATTTGCGCGCCGGCTTTTGCACTAATCACAAAAAATTCCATCCTAGGAATACCACGGCCTCTCGGCTGTAATGCGACTTTCTAAGCGATATGGCGGTCTAGCGATACTGTGGGAGCATCGATATTACGGCGACTCACAGCCGTTTTTGATCAATGTCAGTCACTCGAATATAATCTATATCTGTCGCACCTCTCACAACAATAACAGGAAAATACAACTGCATCAGAATGGAAATACCTCACCACGGAACAAGCTCTGGAAGATGTCGTGTTCTTTGCGAACTCCTTCAGCTCTTCCGGCATTCAAAATGTTACCCTTGATGATCCTCTATCGCTCCCACTACACCCCAGCGTGACACCCTGGGTCTTTCTCGGTGGTTCATACCCCGGCGTCCGAGGGGCTCTTCTCCGTATCCGAAATCCAGAGACCATCTTTGCGACATGGGCTTCGTCTGCTCCTGTACACGCTCAAGTCGATATGGCCAGCTACTACAAGGCTGCAGAACGCAGCCTCACCAGAAATTG